TAAAAAAAGTTATGTATATAATTTTAAAAAATAAATTCAACATAATTTTTATTGAATTCACTGATAATTCATTGAAAAAAAACAGACGTATTTCTAACCATATAAATATTTACTTTAAAGCAAATAAATTTAAACTATTTTTAAAGAAGTTTGATTATGTTAAGTATGTTATTAATAGTTATGGTATAACTATACCAAATAATTTCAAAAATAAAACTTTATATTATATTGTAAAATTATTGTAATAGTTTAATCATATCAGTTGGATAGTTTATCCAGCCCAAAAACAGATTTATGCTAATAAAATAAAGTTAACAATAAAAAAAAGTTGTACAWATAATATATAGGAGGGAGGTGGTAGAGGAGGACCAACTAACGTCTTAGGTAATCGGCATTGGCTTGATAAATACTTCTAAAACATCTTAAAAGATTATGGTCTTTGCTTAACTATTCAGTGTTCTTCTTATTACCACTGTGTAGGCAGTATGTTTCCCTCTAGGAGTCTTATCCCAAATCTAAAAAGTAAATATAACCAATAAGATTAAATATAATTAATGATACTTAATTATTGTTATTTAAGTTTCATCTCAATTATTATTGACCTTATGGCTTATGGCTTACTGTTAGATTTATTCTTACTTGTAACATCTTTGAATAAAAAAGGTTTTCCAAAATTCTTTATTTTTCTATGAATATACATTTAAATTTAAAAGATTTTTATGGAACAACATTTAAAAAAAAACTAAACAGTTTAATTTGCTTAAGAAATCTGCAAACTTGTATCATAGTTACTAATGCATATTGTTTRTATRATAGTATTATATATTTATGTTATAATATAAAAGGTATTAGGCTTTCTATGTTAAGCAAGTGTGTTGTATTGACAAATAAAATAGATAAATGTTATAATTTATCAAGCAGTTTAATATTTTGAATTTATTTAAAAAAGTTAATTATGGTTTGTTAAATAATTATGCGATGCAGTGTGGAAGCCACATTGATTTTGATTGTTCAACCTTCCCCTTCCTCAAATTAAATTCCTCTATAGTAAATATATTATTTATATATGATAACTGTAAGAATTTARTTTAATTTAAATTAAACCTTCTTTTCATAATCCTGGCTATGCCACTGCTAAAGATAATAATTAATATATAATTTGGTGCTAAAAAAATTTTTTTTATAAATTAATAAAAAAAATTTCCTAAATCCAAGATTTCAGAATTCAGAAGTTGGTTAAAGAATGACTGAATAATTATTTGTACTTATTTTGATGGCAAATACAGTAATCAGTAATCAAATCAGGTCCAACTTGAATAAACCATATGTTTTGTATGTTTTAATAGATATTAATTAAAACATACGTGTAAATTATTATGCTTTCATTTTTTTATTATGCTTTCATGATAAKTCAATAACACACTTAAACTAAATGTTAAACATTAGTTTTAGAGATTATGGGGTTTCTGATAGCTATAAATAAATAAAATGTTGGTGAATAATTGAATAGAATTGAGATAAATGTTAGGTTTCATTTAAATTTTGTAATTCATAGAAATTAGTAATTAATGATAAATAGTAAAACATTTTTAAAGCTAGCCATACACGATACGGTTTGCCGGAGAGGCTGGACTGCACAGTTTTTCCGGAAYGTGTGTGTTACAAGTTTGCGCAGTTTTYGGAGACTGTGCAGGCGGCCGGAAAAAAATCGAAAAAAGATTCTTTTGGCCTGCGCAGTCATGACTGTACAGGCATACCGGATCATGTATGGCCGTATGTTGGTWTTAGCTGAGGACTATTGGCCGGAAAGCGTGTGACTGCTCAGTCCTGCGTATCCGGCAAATCGTGGCGTGTATGTCGTCGTCGGGAATCGGTTAAAACTGTGCAGGTTAAACTGCGCAGTCCGACCTCTCCGGCRAACCSGATTGTGTATGGCTAGCTTTACAGTGGCATAAAATACAAGTATCAATTCAAACTGAGTAATTGAGTGGGTCAATGGGATGGTGGTATGTGAAAAGTGAGATGTGATATATTGGGTGAGGGACGAGGATTACTGAATACAGGTACTTATACTATGTTTGGTGTAATATTTACATCTTATTGTAACTGGAAATTTTTATCACATAATCTTCCTGCATCTAACAACCTGTAACTGGCTGATATCAGTCCCAAACTGGGCCGTAGAAGGCAGAAAACTGGACTATCAACATATATTACTATGTTTTTGTCTTMATATAATTATTTTTAAAATATAAAGATTAGACACGGATGTTTTTTTCTGGGCGTCATAAATTTAATATTTTTATCAATTGCTTTTAAGAAGTTAATTAAAATTAATTAAGTATATGTAATATAGTATGAACAACATACACATGRATATTATCCATTTTATAGTTTAACATAAATAATTATTATTATGGCACTGTAGTATTGAAAAGTTTTTCAAAAAACATCAGTAAGTCACTGAGTTCAGCCACTGTATGTGTTTTCTTATATCCTGATTGTATTTTGTTTTTCGGATATGAACGTGCCATTTCTGTTCTTTAATCTAGCAAAGTAAACACAATTTTGAATAGCACAACTTTAATATCAAAACAAATAATGTTTATTAAAAATAATAACTTGAACACTTACCATGAGATAATTAATTAATTTTTAAAATTTTTCAAAGAACTGATTATTAACAATTAGCTTTTCTGAAAAAAAATTATGAATACGTAATTATTTGATAGAGTAATTAATACCAAAATGATTATACATAATAATATTATTCTTTTCATGTTGGACATACTAATAATTAAAATGTGCATTAACATATATTATAATTTTATATGCTTTGTTATTTAAGTCAATGCAGAATATTCTGGCTACTGGCTAGTGCATGGCCTTGGATATTTTGCCATAACATGTCATTAGTTGGCACACACATAA